TGTGTGAATCAATCAAATCCTGAAGTAATGCAAAAGGAAAATAATCTATGTGTGAAAAACCCGGGCTTCGTGTCACCATTTCTATCACTGGGAAAGGCAAGCAGTAGCAGTTTTATCACCTTAGTTGAAAGGCTGATGAAATGTGGCATTGTTTATAAACTAGTGCTTCATTACAAACTACCCTTGCTACTTCTGCTTTCTAATTTTAGAATCAAACCTTTTAGACTGCTTTCTAATATTTTTAATTACTGATCCATAAAATGAAAACATTCAAACTGATTATAAAATATCTTTCAGATGACAGACATAATACTCAACAGCAAACAGAATTAACACTGAACTGATTTACATCAATACCTACCAGAGAGAACAGTAGCAAACTTGCCATATTCAGTTGGTTACTATTTTAGCAGTTCTATCATCTACTGTATTACATTTAGAGTAACTCCTGAACTATAATGAACATTTGAAAGGCAGAGGTCGTAAGAACCTATCCTCTTGGCTTGAACAAAGGAGAACAGAGGAGTTAATAGCTCTGAGACAGATCTGGCTTCTTCGTTTGAGTAACAGAAGGAACTGCCCAAGAATTAAGGGTTTGGAAGCATTGCCTATGCAGATGTTTTCCTACTATACCTGTCAGTATTTTATCAGGATTCAGAAGTCAACTATGCAAATAGGATACAGTTGGCACAGAGTGTTTGCATAAGTCACATAACTGTTTTAGAAAATCAACATTGGATCACACACAGCCTCCCTCCCCCTCTCCAACATTACCAGCTAGCAGGAGTCATACAGTATAAAGGTCTCTGAGGGTACTCTGTTTCTTTCTTAGGTTAGGGACCCTTTGCAAACCAACCATATATTCCTACCAGCCTCCTTTCAACAGATAAGTGTACTAGCTTTATTATAAGAATGAGCTGTTTAAAAAGAAAAAGAAAACATACTTAGAGACTTCTACTTTGAGCTTTCATTTAGAATAGTAACTAAATAACTACTTCTGTCACTCATCTCTGCAACACCAAACACAACTGATTTCACTGCTGTTTCTCACATCTCATGGGATTATAATCTCTCATGGTTAATGGGAATATAGTGGTGGAGCATCTTAAACTATTATGCCATCTATGCTACCCACCATTACCTGACAGCATCTCCTCATGTTCTCATGATGATTGGCTCATTAGTGGTAACTCAGATGATTACGGTATAAAGAAAAAACTTTGGATAAGGAGCAGTAACACACAGGCGGTTCTGTAAGATGTACCATTTTGAGATGGGTCTTATTTGCCAAGTGGAGGAATAGAACTTCTAAAAATGCATTAATAGGTTCCATCTGCTTCATAGGTTTTTTTTTTTATCTCAGTGGTATTTTGAAAGTACTGGGATCCAATTAATTAACAATAAATTAATTCAAATGATCTCAAAGGGAAAAGGGGAAACAATATCAGCCCTAGAGTTGATGCAATTATTTTTTACTCTCATTGATACTAGCACAAAAAGGAAAGGAACACAGTTTGTTCACCATTTTTTGTTCAGGTAGGAAGAGTTAGTTGCTTTTCTGTGCTGTCTTCCTGTCATATTCTCAGAGTTTTGATATTCTCCCATGAAATAGTCTTAACTGTTATTATAAGAATAGTATATTGCTCTTTTTTCTTCATGGAAATTAATAGCCATCTGGGAAAGCTTAACTTGGAAATAAGGCTCAGTGTATTCAGTAACTTATATTTTATTTATTTATTTGATTTATTTGATTTGTCAATTGCTTACAAGATAATAGGCATAAGTATAAACATGAGTAAGAATACAGGAAATAGGTACGAATAAATGGGGACAATAGGACAGGGGCGGTAGGCATGATGGTGCACTTAACTGTTATAAGAATAGTATATTGCTCTTTTTCTTGCACGGAAATTAATAGCCATCTGGGAAAGCTTCACTTGGAAATAAGGCTCAGTGCATCCAGTAACTTATATAATAGGTTATTGCACACTGAGCTGCCATTGTACTATGTAAAGAATTACAACTAGGATGCACTAAATATTTATTTCCAAATAAACATTCATAAGATTATATTGCAAGTATTAATAAACTCTTGTATTTATGCCATGATTGTAATAATTATTACTTGCCCTTTATCTGAGCTGACACTTGCAGTAACCCTATATTACGTCACAACACTATAATGTGGTTTGTTTTTGACTGGCCTTCTGCTGCTTTAACAAATTATAGTTCATTCACCAATCCCATTAATACATTAATGAATAAACTTTCCTCTGCTAAAATAGCAGGCCTAAGTTAACTTACTAAATGCAACACAACATATTGTGGTTTAGTGGGATTTGTGAATGGTGATGTAGGGCATGTGTGTTTCCTGATTTCTTCCTGGTTATTTTTACCCAGAGATGGGCATCCTTTTTGTGCTGAGGACCACAGTGTGTTAGTTGTAAATTATTCAGGAATTTGGGGTATATGAGTGGTGTGGAAACAGAAACAATCAAGCACCAGGTAGAGTCAAAAGTTAGCTTCTCACATTAGCTTTCTTTCCCTCTTCTTTCCCCATCATCCTCTTTTCTCCCTTACAAGTTGCAGGCCACAGGGAGTAGCTAAATAGGTTTTATTAGCAATGTGATGCCTTTTAATAAAGTTTAGAAATGAGAGTCAGGATTACAAGAAGTTAGCCTGAGGATCAGATATGGTATATTATTGGTTGCCTAGCTCTCCACAAATGTGTAAAGAAAGAACAGTGTCAAAAGGGGGCCAGGACAAAAAAAGGGAAGGGTGGTTTCCTTCAAGATTAGGAATTGTTTCTGACTTGTTCAATAAATTGTGGCTAAAGAACACTCATTGTTTTAATATGATTGTGGTGATCTCCGTTTATTACTCTTGAGGCAACTTCAGCACCTGCTTAATTGTATACTTATATATAAAGATCAATCAAGAGAGGACATGGCCATTCACTGCAAAGTCCACTTCCGGTTCCAAGTATGATGCCAAAATTCCCCTAAGGCCTTTTCCAACCAACTTACTTTCCAGAGATGTAGATTGGACAATATTAATTTAGAAGAAGATCCCCATAGGAAAGCTTTCTGCAATATCCTGCTTCTTTATTTTCCAAATTAATTCCAAATGCATACAGTCTAAACCTAATATCTCAAGATTGTACTCTTTGGTGTACAACTAATAAGCAAATCATAAAATGCTCATAAACTATGAATCAATAGAAATTCTAAAAACACTAAAAGCAAACAACTAACTTAAAATTAGAGCTTTTTGATATGACAGGGAGTCTTATATCCTAATAATTTTACTGATTTTTTTTATATCAGTTGAAATAAGCAATGAAAATCCACTAATTTATAAAATTTGCTATGAGAAAAATTTGCTTTGTAAGCCCCTGCCCCATTTATTCAGAAGAAACCCAACAACATTATAAATAAAGTTATGTAGTTAGAATGGACTTTACTCAGAGGAAAACATTCGTATCCCTCCACTATTATTAATGAAGTAACAGGGATTATGTCATTCATTTTCTTTGGTTGTATTGCTTTTCTATATGTGAACAAAACAAAACACTGAAATAATTGGAAAATAAACTAACACTCCAACAGATATTTTGTAATCACACTTCTGTTCTTAACAGAGCTGAGTATCTCCAGCACCAGCAGAGTTGAGATATCACTTTGCAGTCCCAAAGGGACTTTTAAAAAGAAAAGAAAAGAAAAGAAAACGGAGAGTCATTTTATTCATTATTAGATCCTGGAATACTGTTTGAATATCTTGACCTCATATCGATCACAAAAATGCTTCTAAAACCCAGCTGTAAAGCTGAGACAATATAATGAATGAAATTCCCCACAGAAATGTGCAATATTTAAATAACCAATTTAGAAAGGAAAGAAACCTCTTCTTCTCATCAATACTTAGCTGCCTTCAAGTTAAATTAGGATGAAGATCAAAATCCAAACAACGGGCAGCTATAGGACACATTCAGTGATACTCAAGAGATGGGAGGGGGCAGAGGAAGGGCAAGGAATTGCCCAGGACTCTGTCTTCCAACTGGAGGTCAGTATCATCATCCAAAGAAAAAGAACACAAATATACGTTGTATCATATGAATGCATGTTATTTTCCAAAGGGTCACAATTGAGCACTTGAACATGTGTTCAATCTGAAAAGGATCAACTTGCTTTCCTGGATAATGTGCAATGCTTTTTGCCAGAGCCCCGTTTTCCATAAATAAGCTTTTCCTCCACATAATAACACACAGAGAAGGTTGACACATCCCACCCAAGGAGGGGTGGAGGAGGGAAGCAATCGGGCACGTCTATTTGACAATGGCAGCTGCTCAACAAACAGCTCCCTCCCTTCCAGGAAAGCAACCCTAAGACCAGCAGAACACTTGAGTCTTCTTTGCTTCTCTTGAGCTGGCTGTATCTCTGCAGCTGAACAGCAATATTAGCTGAAGCTTGGGAACCGGTTCGTGCTGTTAGATGGGTCGCCCACAGAAGATGCTCCCAAGAGGTAGAAGGGACTTGGGAGGAGAGCAGACGGGACTTGCCCGCTGCCTCGCTTTCGGGACATCCTTTTGCCTCCAAGAAGTTGATCATACTTAGAAGGTCATGCTTGCAATCGCCCGCGCACCTACACCCGCCCCAACTCGCGCGCGCGTGCATACACACACACACACACACACACACACACACACACACCGCTTTTGCATGCAATCGGGACCAGTTCCCATTATTGTCAGCCAGTGGCAGAGAAGACCCCCCCGGCGAAGTGTTTCCAACGCCCAGGGAGCGCCAGGGGGACTAGCTCACCAATCCGCATTACGCCTGGGCAAGTCAATCCCAAAGAGCGACCGGCTTGAATTCGCTTCACAACCCAGGGGGAAGGGGACAGAACCGAGAGGTTTCTTTCCGCAACGCTCCCAAGCTGACGCGAAGGGAAAAGATCCCAAGCCAGCGACGCCTCGGCGAAGGGCAAGTCTTGCTACTCACCAGCTGCAGCGTGCAAAGGAAGATCAACGTACAGCGCCCAGTGCAGCATCCCATGGTAGAAGCTCGCCGGAGCCGGAGGCGCCGTTTTCCCGTTTCTGCAGTTCTCTCCGAGCCCAAGCCAGGCACAGCTCTCACCACATCCGGACAGACGCCCCCCCCCCGACTCCCCGCCGCTCTCGCCTCGTGCGCCGGTTAAAACCTCTTTGTTTAGAAGCAGGGAGGGGGAAATCTCTTTCGCCTCAGCCCCGGGGAAGGAGATGAGAACAGCTTGGCAGCGGAGCGAGGCATCCAGCCGCTTGCTTAGTGTCCCTCAGCTGGAGGGGGAGGCTGAGGGGTGGGCGTGTGGCTGGAGGGAGGAGGGGGGAGAGAGGAGTGGGCGCGCGTGGGTCTCGGCGTGTGGTGTCAGGCGAACCTATGAATGAGACTTGTGAATGGTGAAACCGGCGAGCGGGAGGGCGGGATTTCGGAATTGTCAATGGCCGAAGAAAGGAAACGTGAATGGGTCTGCAGGGACCTTTGGCCAGGAACCCGACTGCGAACAGCCGGCAGGTGTTCCCGCGGGAAGAGCGAAAAGTAAAAGGGGCGGCGGGTTTAGGGCGCCCTCGCGCTCAGCGGCAAAGCGGAGACGCGTCTCAGTGCCGGGGGGGGGGGGGGAGGTGCGCGAAAAGAGGGCTTTTGTTGAGAGGAGGCACGGCGGAGTGGGGGGAGCGACGAGACAGTCCACCCGAGGCGTGGCCAGAGGGAGGGGCTTCTTCCGACGGCTCGCCTAGCACTGGAGGAAAGTGAGCGGGGGGGGGGGGGGGTCTGGGAAGGGGGGGGGGGGGGGGTAAAAGGGCGGGGGGGCCGAAGAAGGCAAAGGGCTAGCCCGAAAGACCGCGCGGGGTCTCCGCGAGTCTCCGGCGGAAAGCTGAACCCCCAAACTAATGTCTTCAACTCGCCAACCGTAGCTATGAGTCAGTGAAAGCAAGTGATCAGACTATTCTAACGGGAACCAAACTCAGGCGATGCACCAAAGGAGGAGCGCTTTCAAGGAGACAAGCTTGCTGAGAGTTAATCTCCATCCGCTTGAACTACGGTGAAAATATAAAGGAAAACGTTTGCAGACATTAGCGCGCGTGCCATTGATTTCCTACCGCATTTGCTTACCGCAAACCGAAGAGCACCATGCAGGGGCTAGGGTAGTGCGCAAATCTTTGCTATGAAGCCCATATAGACACTTTCTTGGAACAAAATATACCCACTGGTAAGGGAATAACAAGGACTATCTCTTTATTTTCTTACTATTTATCTGATTTTAGGAAAACAGCGAAATTTTCCCCAAAGAACTTGAAAGTCACAGAACTGCATTACATGTGAAATCACAGGTGTGTTCCTTAAACAGAACTTTGGAAAGAAATATCGAGGCTCTGAGCAGAGTTGAGATTCCATCTTGCAATCTTGAAGTTGCAAAGAAAGCCAAAACAAAACGTTCAATTTTGAATGCTGCTTGAGCATTTTGACCCCATATTGATCTAAAATCCAGCTGTCAAGCCAAAACGATAGAAAGAGTGTAATTTCTACAAAGTGTGCATTACTAAGTAACCAATTGAAACACATCGTTGGAAGGGAGAAAATATTTTTGTCATATCACATGGATACTTCAGACTATGTATGCTACACATCCATGTTTTCAATAAATCACAATGAACATTTGGGGATGTTGTGTGTGAACAGGATCAATTTCTTTTTCATCTGCAATCTGCAACGGATTTTCTTTCTCAACAAATAAATGTTTCCTTCAAATGTGTAGTATACACAGTGTTCATACTTCCAAACTCAAGAAGACAATAGACCTCTTTATCTCTCTTAAAAATGTTCTTAAGGCCAATGGAACACTTGGGACTTTGCTGCTCCTTTTGGGACATCTCTATAGCTGAATAGCAACAATTCACTTGCTAAAATTATTTTTTATTAGATTTTTATTCTGCCTTTATTACTTAAAAGAAATTCAAGCAGCAAACACGTCTAATACACTTTCCCCTTCCTATTTTCCCCATAACAGCCATGTAGGGGATTGGCTGAGAGATTGGTTGACTGGTCCAAAGTAACTCAGTCAGTTTTCATGCCTAAGGCAGAACTAGAACTCACCATATCTTGGTAAGCTAGCACCATAACTACTATACCAAACTGGTAGGGAAAGGACCCACACTGTTTAATGAAAAAATACAATGTTGTACAATATGCATCATAGGGCAACAATTTTTGAATTAAGATATCTCAAATGAGCTGATATATAGAATATGCCCAGCACCCATGATTCCAATGGGATTTTGATATTGGACAAAGTTCTGGTTGTTTCAGTGCTGCTGCATCATTGTATGGCACGGTCATGTGATGGCCATTTCCAATGCTGTCTCCTGGCTTCCTATAGGGAAAGTCAATGAGGTAGCTGATAGGATGTTGGAAGTTGCTTATCTCCCACTGCTTCTATGCCTGTTCATTCTATTTCTCTATTTAGCTAAATAAATATATCTGAAACAATGACCCAACAGGTCACAGGTTGGGTAATAGAATGTGTGGATGATCTTGGGGGAATGACAGGAATAGATGTTGCCTAGGAAACAGTGATTGATATCAGCTATCACAGGTAAACCAGACAGGAAAGAAAAGTAGATGAGTTAATTCTACTTTATTATAAGTTACCAGAGTCATTGCCAGTCTGAAAGTATAAAGTTCCACTGCCACTTTTAACTGTCTGACCAATTAGGGCAGGTCCTTTCTAAGTTTCTTTCTCTGACTGTTAAGCCCTTGGAGGCTCCTCTTTCTCTCTCTTGATTGAATATTTCCTAAGCAGTATTTCTTCGTATCATACTGAACCCTAATAATCATACATATGATTATTATATATTATTTTGGATACCACCATGCATTTTATTTGTTTCATATTATTTTATGTGGCTTCTTCATGGAAGCATCATCAAATTAAAAGGCATCTCTCACAACATCCAAGTAGCAATAGTAAAAAAAAGTCAACAACTCGCTCATACTGTAAGGCAAAGGCATAAATCTAAAGCACAAATCTTCATGAATTTGCATGTTCTATGAAGAGTCATGTGATATTGGCTCTCATTTAAATAGTCTTAAAGTTAGTAGTTGTTTCCAGGTCTTCCTTATTCATGTGAATTTGTAATAGAGGTTCAATCAAGAAAATGATTTGCTCAAAAGTTGCTATCATGCTGAATCTTCAACTGTGTAGAATGGCTCTCTATAATTTATGTCACCAATGTCCTGCTCACAAGATAATATGTTAACAGAAATATTTTCAAATAGGTCAAAATCTAATTCTTTCTAATAAAAAATATAATCTTTCTGGAAATGAGTAATGTATTCTAAATGTAATTTAATTAGGATGCTGAATACTGCAATCAGATTTGAATGTTCCAACCTATATATCTAGGAGAAAATCCTCCGTGATATCCAGCTCAATTATATACAAATGAATTATTTGTGAACTAGTAAGGTACTGACAAGCGTGGTGCATGACCTATTTTATCCAAAGCACATAGAAAAGAATAAGAACATTCACACTATCCTGCCAGCTTTGGACTGCTGCTTATTATACACATATCTATACAAGAAACTGAAATAAATCATACAATCACATTGGAGTCACCAAAAACTGAGCTATGAAGTTATTTAAATAAGCTTATTTCCCAGAAATGATTTTCAACATCAAAAGTTTAGAAAATAACAACTTGGCTCTTTTTGTAAAGTATTTCAAAAGAAAAGGAGTCATATGAGTTTGATCCGGTTCATGCTTTATCCCTCTTCATTATTACCATTTACCACCTTCTCTTTAACTCTGCAGAAGGTCTCTTTGCTCTTCAAGCATAATGAAATAGACAGGTCTGGAATATCTCCTTTTTCTTGGAGTGTAAAATGGACCTATAGTAACACACAAAATCTATAACCACTCCGACTAGTAACAATCTTCATGTTGGAAATGAAATAAAGAGCACCAGATTAAGGATGCCTGGTGTGGTAGACCTTTGGCCCTACATTACATCTTCCTTTTATGGTTTCATTGCATTGTATGAATTAGATGCTGCAATATTTCTTTGCCCCAATATTAACCTAATTAATAATGATTATTCTACTTTGCTCTCATTGGCTGGGATTTGGATTCTTTTTAGCTTCTTCATTTGACTAATTAGAAGCAAGCATAGTTTTTTTTTTCATGGCAATCACTCTCAGGAGGATTAATGCAATCATAGGTTCACAGATTTAGTTTTGGAAAAACCCCTGGGGAGAATGACTTAGCTAAATGACTCGTTTAATTTGACAAAGGTAAATGAATCAAAGTGCAACCAAGTCAGATACTTGTATTAAGCATACAAAGGAGAACAATTTCACCTACAGTATAAGAGTCTTGAAGCCTGAGCCATTGTCCCTTTAAGCATCAGGAATTTCTCCAATGAGATAGAAACATTTTAATTCATGACCTGAACATTTGTTGGGATGAAAATATTTTGCTTCAAGAATACATAAAACTTCAATGTAATTTCTCAATAATCTTTGAAAACCATTAATTAGTTCTCTTTGAAAAGTACAGATTTTCCCTGTTATATATGAATTGGTTGTCTATAAATTGTTCAACTCTAAAACCTGAAAGTTTAGAAATTCAGATACAGATACAGAAATGCCAAATATTTTTTCCAAGGCATCCACAAATTGCTATTAGGATGTAAATTAATTATATATTCATAAAATAATTCAAACTTTCTTTATATAATATTGACGATTTAATAAAGTTTGAAATGAGATTTGAGTACACTAATTTAAAATGACAATGTAAACTGGTAACACACAATATGTCACTCTGAAATAAGTATATTTTCAGCGTTATATTTCTATAAATCAAAGAGACGTGGGAAAAAGAATCATATTGTTTCTTTTTCCATGGCTCTTTGGTTTAATCATTGGAAGTCTATAGTCTTCCTGATATTGCTGAATTACCAGCGGGTCCTCAGAAGGATCATTGATGAGAGGTACTGGGACTATATATGTAACTTTAA